TCTGAGGCATTTGTGCTAGAACTACATTGGTTAGCTGGGTACTTCAGTGTCCATACAAATGATGGTACATTAAGCTCATTTTGCTAAAGAGACCAGATGCTGTTTCATGACATGTTCTGTTTTTAACTGTCATTATTCCTTGTAAACATGCCAGTTCCTGGGCGAAGGCCAATGAATGACCTGTAATTTAACTGCAAATTGAACATAATAGTATTGTGAAATTTTAGTTTAAATTAGTTGGGTTGAGCTCAAGTTTTTTTTTTAACAGGCATATTTTTGCAAGAGAATGCTATTTCAAATTTTCTCAAGTATTTTGGACACTCAAAACATCTGTACATAGCAATAACCAGGTACTTAACAAAAAGGAGAAGGTAGCTGTGTCAAGAAGTCCAGCACCATGTCAAGTTAGTGTTGTTACATTTCTTTTACTCGATAGCTGATCAGAATTAAAATGCATGTAATTCCTGTATTGAGGGTACTGGATGTTTGAGACAGTTTGTTTTGGAAGGTCATTGTGGGCTCTTGATGCAGTTCAATGAAGGAAGGACCAAGCAGGGTGAGTAAATCCATGCCCTTGGCCTGGATCACTCTTCTTCTTGCCATCTGCCATCTTCCTGCTTTGTCATTTGGCCTCTTGGCTTTTTGGAAATTTACCTTTCGTTGCCTCTCCTACCTGATTTCTGCTTTTGGAATGTACAGATCTTACAAAATAATACTTAAGGTTATTTAAAAAAAAAAAGTGACAGGGCTTCTCATGTTCTTGTTACCCTCGTGAGTCTACCCCTTGGCTTAAATGGTAGATTTTTTGCAGTTCTTCAAGTCGATAGCAGTGATCTGCTCACTTGTCTTTTCTTTTTTAATCTTCTGTGGTGATGAAATCCATGCTTCTTTTTTATTGAAGCTTGTTGACATTAATAGAGAGTTCTCACATTTTGTTTCACACACATACACCCCCGCCAGACAGGCATAATACTTGCCTGAGACTGATGGTTTTCCTTGACACCTGAGAATCTGGAGATCAGCTGAAACCTCCCTGTGTTGCAAGGCCTTGGCTAGTTCTTCCTGCTGCTGAGTCTTGCAGCTAAAACAGCAAGTTTAATTTTTATCTGTTTATCCATCTCTTGCAGATAGTAATGAAGAAAGGAATAATGCATGCATAGGTATGGGGAAAGGAGAAGCAGGCATGTTCAAATAATGCTACACAAACATATCATCAAACTATACAAATGTATAGTTCTGGAATCAACTGTCAGGAAAAAGTGTTTTGGAACAGAGCTATGGCATATAAATGATACTTGGGGTTATGAAGAGGAATGCAGGGTAACTTAGGTCTGTCATGCAATTCCGTGTAGTTAATACCTGGTAAAAACTGTTTCACTGGAATAGTCTTTCTTGATCTAATATCTAAGTTTTTGCATGGTAATATGTGGATTTTACTTGTTAGCTATGATGTAATGTTGCTGTGATATGGAGGCCATTGGTGTAGCTATAGGCTGACTAATGAGTTCTGTTTAGAGAAGGGGAAAAAAAAAAAAAAGTGGTAATCCAAAGCATCAGATGTATAAGTGCAAGTTAGTTGATATCTTTACTGGGCAGGGAGTAATGGCTAAACATGCAATGATATAATTTCAATCACCACTTGCAAGTTTTCCTGCATTTGAAATAGTTGTGTATCTTTATTACTGTTCTAAAAGTGATAAATAAAATATGTATGTTAAGTTACAGAAATGTCGCTTAGGAAATCTGTACTTTATGCCCTGAAGAAGTGGGTTTGTGTGGAAAGGTTCGTTGGCTTCTCATTACGGTCAGTTCTGTCCTGTCATGGTTGGGTTGTATGAGAATTTCTTCTCCTTTTCCACTGTTTCCCAAATCAACAACAGTGCAAAGCAAAACCATGAGAATTGGTAGTTTACTGTCAGGACAAGTTACGGAAAGATTCCTCTTATGCTAAATGCTATTGCAGGTTTCTGGAGGCGTTTTGATTCCTGCAGTTTTGTTGCTCTACAGCTGTTGGAGAAGCTCTGGGACCTGGAATGAGGCAGTCAGAAGGGGGTTGTATGTTTGACTCTGCCGTCTACACCAGACAAGGAACCCAAGGCACTGCTTGTCACCTCAGTTTGGGCACTCGTATCCACACCGTTGTGATCTGATACCTTCCCTTGCTCACTGTAAGGAAAAATCTTCCTTCATACAGGAAGGCAGGAAAACATCTAGACCAAGTTGTGGTCCCTTTTGAGTGCCTTAATCGTAAGGCTCCTAGAGCAGGTCTTATATGCAGTGTTCCTGAATTGGAAATTGTTGCTGCTTTGTCTGCATCTCAAGTTACTTTCAGCTGAGCATGCTAGAGAAAGATCTTCCTGTCTCCTCCGGTCTGAGACTTGCATTTTCATGTGTTCCTGGTTTTCAGATTGTCTTCTGGCTGGAGGCAAGAAAACAGGGTAGTGACTGCTCAGGTCAGGTATCTCTACTCTGGGTGAATCCTGTGTCCCTGCCCATTTAAATGGCGGGACATCTTTGGCTTGGGAAGTCATTGAACTCAATTGCTGTTCGTCTACAGGAAAAACAGATTCCTCTGCAAGGGTCTCCTGTTCTTTACTAAGTATCATCTTCTGATCTCTACTGTAGTAAAAGGATACTGCCATAGCTGAATCTTTGGCCTGACCTGGTGCAGCCTTTTTCTATGCTGATGTAGTAGTTTCTAAGCAATGAAGTAAATAATATGTATTCCAGCTGCACTGAATTACTTAAAAAGGAGGAATGTTTTTGGAGAAGAGAGCTGCGACAGCTCTTGAGATGTTTTTTTCGCTTCACCGGGTCTCTCAAAGCACAGTTCATCCTTTGCCATCCTTTCTGTCCCCATCTTTCCCTTTCTTGGCTTGGAGCCTTTGTTTGGTCTGAGACTGTGATGATGTTTGACAAATGCTTGCCTGCTGCTTCAACATAAACAGCTCTTTTTGAGCTCAGGATGAGGTGGTAACTAGAAGGTGCTGTTCATTTTCACCATTTCATAGTGCTTCAAGTCATTGTTACCTATTAATTGAAATAGTAATATTTAGCTCTAAAATGCTTATTTTGCTTTTTGCCAGGCATATTTAGTAATCCTTGGGTTTTATTCTATGGTAAGAAATGCTGATGTGATCATGGAGGAAAAAAGAAAAATACTTACAAGCACTATTTGCTTTCTTAAACCTTTACAAGGTAAACAAGAATTCACAAGGATTGGGTTGCGGGAAAATGATATGTGTGCTGCTTTGTGGTCAGGCCTGACTAACACAAGACACTTGTTTTAACTGGGGTACAGCCCCATGCCATGTAGTCATACACCTGGGACTTCAGGTTTTGATCAAATTGGACTTTTTCAGATCATGCAACAGGAGCCTGATGGCCATAATGACTTCTCTTGCAGCTGGAATACCAAAAGGTTAACTGACATCTTCAGATCATCTTAATCTGAGCCTTTGGTTTTTCTTCTTCTTCCAGTGAGTGAGTGGGAGGCAGCTCAAGATTGTAATATACCAAAATACTTACTTTTTTCAAAGTGTTTTCATGCAAATACACGTCGTGCTAGTACACACAAGCTTCTATTTGTAGCTGAAATGTGAAGCAATGTGATAAAGATGGAGAAAGCTTCCAAATTCACAGCTGATGTCTTTGTAATATTGAGCAAAAGTAGTATATGTAGTGGGGAATAGAGATACAATGCAAAATACAAGTTTGCTTTGAGGTTGTTTTTAGTTAGGCAGTGGGAAAACTTGGTTACAGCTGACAATTTCTTAAGTTAGTGAGGATACCATCTGGGGTGGGAAATTGCTTCCAAATTTTTTATTCTCTAGATCAAAAGATATAATGAAATAGCCTTCTTCCTCTCCTGATTGGTATATCAGAGGGGAAGCAATGGCTTGCAAAACCTTTGCTTGCTTACAGACAACGTGATCAGGCATAACTTTTCACTTGTTATTTTCTGTAACTGCGAATTGACTCTGTAACGCTGGGGCTACTTCAATTCAGTGCTGTTTAATTCCTGTGGAGTTGCATCTCATCTGCTTGGTAGGAGGCATTCCTGCGTGCATGCGACACGCAGTCATTCATCTGGCTTGCGTGGTTTTGGAGAGGGTTAAATCAGGATTCGGAGTAATGCTGCTTGGATTTGTAATGGAAACATGATTATCTGTTTGCTTTCAGCTGACTAGACCTTTACAGAAGGAACAAAATGATAAATGGAGATAGAAAAATGGAGCCTTATTTCTTTTTTTTTGTGTGCGGAATTGTCAGTGAGGTTGGACCCGGGTGCAGCCCTAAGGACTTCATTTCTATTGGGAGGAATGATGAACTTAACTTGCCAGTTTTCCAGGAATCAACCCCTTCCTGCCCCCAGTACTTTTTATTTAGTTTTATCGTAAATGGCTCTGTGGTTTATTTCTGTCCAGGTTGTGCTGCTGAAAAATAGCATGTTTCTAGAATAAATAGATATTCTCCCTTACCTGGCAGGGATGTTACCACTGATGCTGTAGTTGCAGCTGTTGACATTAAGTATGATGTGCAGTAAAAACCAGATGTTTTTAGAACAGACAAATATTCTTGTTTACCTGGGTGGAGAAGTTACTGCTGGTGGTGGCAACCACAGTTGTTGACATTTAGTGTGATGAGCAGTCCAAGGCTTTTCTTGTAGAGAAGAAATGTATCATGGTGGATGGGAAGCAGTTTAGCCGTGTACAGACTGGAAGAGTCTTTTCACAACCCTGAAGGACTGGAGTTAGTTTGAGCTTGCTAATGCCAGTGGAGATGATAGAGCTAGACTTGCTACAGAGAGTGCATCCATTCTGCAACATGGTCGTTTCTGGTATTCTTGAATTTTTGTATAATTCATCCAAACCCCTAGTGTTTTTCACGTTAGATTGTCAGTCTCATAAGATGGAGTGTGACTTTTGGTCTCATGCCCAAAGCCTTAGCGTGAAATTCTGTGCGGCAGACCATTAAATGTCATTGTTCTGATTTTGTGAATGTTGTCCGTTTTTACAGATGCCTTTGTAAATAGCCAGGAATGGACACTAAGCCGATCTGTACCAGAACTGAAAGTGGTGAGTTTATATTTACTTCCGTCTCTGAAAAACATCCTGAAAATGTTGTGCACAAGTGAAAATCTTCTAAGCTTCATTAATCTACTGTTGGGGGAAAAAATATAGAAAACAACTTTAAGAAGTAAAGCAATTTTCTTCAACAGAACTATCTTTATGAAGTTTATGTATCTTCTATTTTTATAATCATGCTTCAAAAATCTATTTGTATTTTATTGCTGTTTTGACTTGTTTGGCTACATGAACCAGCCTCCTAGGGTGGTCTTCTCAGTAGGGAAGTCTTACACTTCTGTAAGAGGGGGTAGTTGGCAGGTGATGTATAAAACTCCTTTTATCTCACTGTAATAATTTTTCACAATTTCTTCAAGGACCAAATGTCTTTTCTCCCTCTCTTAAAAGAATTTAACTGAATTTGTACTGAATAAAAAAAAAATTTTTTGAAAGTTCATATAGCGATTCAAAAACTGCATTTTACTGTAAGAACGAACAGTGATTTAATAGCTGCTTACAATAACTTTTCCCTTGGCTGAGCCATTTTCCATATAGGTGGAAGAAAAGGCAAAAGTAGCAGAGAGACAGATTGGGGGAATTTCCCAGATTTGCCCTTTTAAGCGTTATGAACCTGGAGGCTGGAGACGAGGGCTGAAACATCCTCGTAGTGGATATCGAACTGGCAGCTTGAAAAGCCAGCAGCAACGAGTTGTTGAGGCCAGATCGCTGTGATGTTTACCACGTGGAAGTCCAGATTTAATTAAACACAATCAAATTCTCAAACCCTGCAAAATGACTGTGGTACCCAAGGTACAGAACTTGGTAATACCTTTGGCAGGCATCTGTGCTCAGCTCCTGTGGTCCAGCTGTAACTGGATGAGCTGCTCCAATCCAAACACCCATTTCCTGAGTGGCAAAGTGAATCAGGCAAAAGCAGCTGAATTTAAGAACGGGTGGCTGGGGCCAAGCTTCACTAGCCCTCTTCTCATGTGGTAAATGTCTTTTTCTGAATCTGAGCTGATAATAGTGTTTATGGAGGTAAGAGAAAGCATAGGTCAAACTTAGCATGACAGATGCACTTCTGCAAAATGGCATTTTAATTGAAGCAGCTTCCTCATGACTACAGTTATGTTTCTGTTTTGATTTCAGCAGTGCACAAGGTAAGTAGAAGAGAAATATGGTAGTCAGTGGATGTAACTGTATAATACAAGAAGGGCCTGCAAAGGGTCACCAGATTCAGTTTAATTGATTGTGTAATGTGGAAGACAAATATCTCCCAAAATACCTTGCAGAATAAAGTACCTAAGAATTTAGGACTGGAAAGTGTTGGTTGGATATGAGTCCAGTCCACTGTGGTATTAGCTAACTTATGCTAAGGATCTGTAGAGGGTTTCCTTGTACATCCCTTCCCCTTCTCTTAGCCCTACTAATTCACAACACCCGCCAATAAACTTAGGGCTTGCAGGTGAGACCAAAGCTGCAGTTATTATGTGTTATGATACAGAACACAATTGCCGAGCATTAGGTAGTGGTCTCAGAGTACAGGCATTTCTGTGATACCATGGCTGCGTTTTGTGAATACTTGCCCTGGGTATCTTGCCCCCATGTTGTCTGAACCAGTGGTAGGAAAATAAACTGCTGCTATGTGGCTGCTGTAGAGAATTGATTTGAAGTGGTCAGCGTGCATGAACCATCCAAGGCTTCAGTTTGTATAATCCTGCATAAAAGCAGAACTCTTACCACTACAAAAATAATAATTTGATTATACCACTGCAAATTATTGAAGCTAGCAGCACCAGCTGTGACTGTGAACTTGTGCTCCATCAGGAAGGGCAAATTAGGAGCTCCACCTGAAATCCGCTCTGCCTTTCCTATACATCTGCCGTTGGGAAGGAGTTGGTGCAGGGACTCATCTCTCTGTCTTTCCCCTGGTTCCAGCCTTATCGTTGCCTCTTGCTTATGGCTGAGGAAGGAAAGGGCCATGCTAAAAGCTAAACCTGCCTCTTCTGCCACAGTGCTATCATTATATTCACCACTAAGGATAACTGTGGGTGCGTTGATTTAGCTTGTGGCCGTGTTGGGGATGTTGGAAGCATAAGAAGCGTGGAGTATTTGCTCCCATCACTGTACAGTGCAGCAGTGCACATGAGGAGGTGAGGCTTAATGTTGCAAGGTTATGAAGGAGCACCAGCTTTAGCTGATTGAGCAGGCTGTAGTCTGCATTAGAAGATGGTTAGTAGCTCACTGGGAGAGATTGTCTTCTCTACAGAGGCTGGGAGGTCCTTAAATTGAGCTGGTTGTTTGATTTTTGATTTTTTTTTTTCTTTTTTTATAGCAGCTGTTGTTATACCCTTAGGCTCTACAGGAATTTAAGGGGAATAGAAATGGACTCTGGGAGAGCAGAGAAAGCACATAGAATTGCAGTAAAGGAAAGCCGATGGATGTATTTTTCAACATGCTTCTGAGGAAAATACTAGCCTTTCCCTCTGCCTCCTTTTTTAGGAAGACACATTGGGCTTGATTCTTTTTTTTCCCCCAGTTTCAGTAGGATATTTGTTTCTGCTGATCAAATACTACCACAGAGATTTACTTATGGATATTGATGCTTCTGTTATGGTCAAGAGTGTGCTAGGCCAGCTGGGTGAGACCAGTTCCTTTCCCGAGTGATGGTGGTATTCCTGGGTCCCATTGATCCAAACATAAAATAAGGATGTGTTAGGCAAAATAAATACAAGATTGTTTTGGACAAAATAATTTACTTTGTTCCAAAAAATATGCAAAGCGCAGTCAGGCTTCTGTGCTGGATAGCTTTAAAATGCCAAATGCCATCAATACATTTATGCATTTTTACAAACAGGCTTTAGTAGGATGTGGGCATAGTGGTTTGGATTTATTTTACAGCATGTCTGGCACATGCAAATAAATGATTCAGTGTTGCACAAGTCATAATTGACAGAGCATTGCGTTGTAGCCTTGTTAGCTGAATTTTCTTGTTTCTGAACTGGTTTAGGGTGGTATTTTTGTTCCATAACATGCTTGTCATAACTTCGTGCATTTCGTATGTATCCATAAATAAACAGAAATGACTCAGATTGTTTGTATATAAAATAGGGGAGACAGAAATATGACTACTGTAAAAACATGCTGGCATATTTGTCATACTGTGAGGGGATCATCCTTAAAACAAGTATTACTCCTGATTAAGACAGAAATTGTATTAGAAGTCAGATTTTTTTCCAGTGTAAAGTTTATTGCTCCTAGTTTTCAGAGGTTAATAGCGTGCAGAGACCCGGAGCAGTAATACCAAGCACTGCACTGAACAACGAAGGCTGATTCTGCTAGATTTTGATTTGATGTACTCGTTTCGTATCTGGTAGAAAAGAGATGGCTGCCTTGTCTCTTCAAATGCAGGCACTGAGGTGAGATCTTAAAGAATCCTCTCTCTTACCATATGAGAAGCAGAGGAGGAGGCAGATGTCTCCTGCATGCATTCTGAAGTAGTTGTCTAAGGGAAAAATAAAGCTGTGCTGCAAATGTAGATTTTATAGTCAGATTTGAGGAAACTTGCTTTGGGTTCATATTATTTTTGAGAAGTTAACATTAGTACTCCAATACAAAACTTAACTGTGTTAATGCTTTTTTCATGTTCGCTTTTTCTACCATGTAAGCTCCTAAAGAACTTTTGTCAGTTCCGTGGGTAGTTTGAAACTGATCTAAAATATAAATCCAAGAACTTCTCTGTTAAGAAACAGTTGAATATTCTGATCGAGAAGATCAGTCCCGCATTATCTTTAAAACGCCAACACTTTTTGGTCTTAGTCTTGAGGCGACTTATGGAAATGAATAAAAGGAGAAAGAGGGAGAAAACACACTGCCTCTCTTTGAGGATTGTGCATGGTTTTTAATAGCATATTTTACAGGAAGAAGGCTCTAGTTTTACTACATGCATTAGTGAAGTGTTTTCTTAATTGAAATACACATCTTGCTCTTCGTCTTCCCTGCTTTCTGCATCAGTTTTTTAGCATCACATTTAATAATGCTCTTTTGGCCAGGCACCTTTGTCTTTCTGGGTGCCTACAAGGACGAACATACTGGAGAACCTGAAGTGCTGTAAAATTGCACATGCTGATATGGTCTTTGGGATGCTTGGGAAAAAAAATATATATAAAATTGTATTCTTACATCACTATATGTTGTTCAAATATTTGGAGTCTCTGACTCAATATGGTAACACATCCCAGCCATGAGCAAAGGACATTGCATGTTAGCTCTCACTGGAGCCCAAGTTGATGCTGGCAGTTTTGCCCTCTGACTGGTTACGTTTTTGGCACTGGTATAATACAAAATAGCATTAATTTGCACGCATACAGGACTAGTCACTTTTAAGTGAAGGTTTCAGTATCTGCTGTGAAGGTGTTTGCGTGACTGATTATATCTCCAGATCTAATGGAGGATTTTTTTGTGGACGTGTTGGTGCTACACTGGTGTGCTCCACTGGTTTGCTCCAAGGTAGGTCAGGAACAGCTTTGGTATCTTGTTTCCAAAGGTCTAGAGCTACTGCTTCTAAAACGAGAACACAAAACACTCTTCTCTGTCAGCATTTTCCTAGTAAACCCATGTGAAGCTTGCTTGCTTTCCAATTCTTCAGAAATTGTGGTGCTCAGAAAGGGCCTTAGCCTGGCTATTTATCTGCAGAGGTACGTCTAATGTACTGATTTACAGATGGCATTTTTGGCCCAGACTGTCATAATATAGAGCTGGTGGGGAAGGAGGAGAGGGGGACGCTTGCCTTGGGAATGTGGTGTTCAGCTTCTGGTCTGGGATGAAGCTGCTGCTGTAGTGAATACAGCCTACTGATGAGCTGTGTGCTGAAGAAAACAGGCAACTAGCAAGCAGTTTAGTTAATCTCTTTTTAAAAATCTGTTAAAATCTGGAAAACTGTGTCTTGGCCACTTTGATTTAATTAAAAAAAAAAAAAAAAAGTCAAATAAGTTTTGATGCACTAAATCTTAATTATTTGAGTGGTCGTGAATCCCAAACAGTGAGAAATGTGTAGTTCTAGGCGAAGGGAAGAAGGTGGGAAGTAACCTCTCACCTCTTTGTATGGAAAGGGAGAGGGTATCGGTTCTGTGGTGAGAAGAGGAGGGGTGCAAAGGCCAAGCTGTTATTCACAGGATTTCCTCAGGCATCATGTTGGTTGGGGTTTTTTTTTGTTTGGTTTGGTTTTTTTGTTTGTTTTGGGTTTTTTGGTTGTTTTTTTTTTTTTTTTTTTTTCCTGAGAAGTATGGAGGGTTATTTGAACATTTTGCTTATTTAGGGAAACACATGAGTAGACAAGCTTACTGTAGTTTATTGGCATATAAAGGAGGGAAAAGTCATTCACTTCAGAGGTTGCTTGATGTTTTGGGGTTAAGGGACACACGTTAGAGATGGTATTTTCTTCCTCTTACCTCTCACTTGGTATCTGGTTGAACGTTGGAGAAAGCTGAAATGAAGTTGTGGCTAAGTCAGGCATTCAGAATGGAGATACAGGATTTGGATGTGAGTGCAATATTGCTTTAGTTTTTGTTCTTTGTATGTGCAGATGGAAGTCCCAAGCTGGTGTGCCCTCCCCCCTCCCGCCCCCGACTATCTTCCCTATACATACATTCAGTGGAAGAAGTGAGGATCAGTGTAATAAAAAAATTAGCTAGTCAATATTGTGTGTTTTCTTGTGCCATACAGAATCTTAGGGCTTTGCTTACTGTCCACTACTCACGTTCTCTTTTGAATACAGCAACTCACTTCTGTATTAAGTTTTCTTCAGGTCTTGTCACTTAATTTTCAGTGACACATCATATACTTTCCCAGTGCATCTATGAGATGAAAGAAAAATTTTGAAACTGGGGGTGCTGGAGAGAGAGCGGTTTCATTTCTGCTGATAGCTTGCACTCAAGGTGAAAGATGTCGAGCCAGAATGTGCAGGAAACTAAAGCCAGTGCGATCCCACCACACGTGGGCACACACCACTCGCTCACAGCTGTCGTCTCTCTCCTGTTGGCAAAACATGGAAGTCATAGTGACCTCATGTTCCAGTTTTTTCCTGAGTAGATTGCCCAGAGGATTTAAATGATCCGTGTACCCAAAATGTTTAGTTGCTCAAACCAAGAGATTTTCTTTCTAGGCTCTTTTTCAAAACCTTTGCTTTCAGCCAGGAAGTGTGGGCACCTTGGAGGCAACAGCCTTGGTCATGTTGCGGGTCTGACTTGCTTGCAAAGCAGGGTGTGTGGAGCATACTAATCATTTAGGAGGTCTGAGGTATCAGCTGTATCCTTTTCTTGTTGGTGTTTAGTATCTTATGTGATGAGGTTTATCAGGTGGATGATGTCAGGCACCTGTAGAAGTTACCCTTCTTCCTAGAGAAGTTATCGGTCGCTTTTTCTTTTCTGTGAAGTTGCAAAAGTACATCTTGTTAAGAAGATATCTTCTGTAACTTCTTTTTTTCTGGGTTCCAAGCAAAGCTCACTAGTCTTGAAGGGGAAAAGAGATCTGATAAATGGTTTTGTCTTGGCCTGACCTGAATGAAGCTCTGCAGTCTGTTTCCAGAGAGCATTGTCCCATGGAATGGGGTCTGAGAACGCAAGGTTAGTCAGCTGCAGAAGTGGCGTTTGCCTCTGTCATTTGTCTTGCACTTACTTTTAGATGTAGATATCTCAGTATGTACTAGCTTGGCCTGTAATTTCTCTTAGCTGTAAGTTGTGTTAAAAGCTTCCAGTATGGTACACTGGTTTAAACACTCTTCAGAGTCAGCTCAAAGCCCAATAAACAGATACGTGTTGTCCAACCGCTTGGGCTGTGGCTTCCTTCTTATTTTTGTGGGAGTGCTCTTTGATAGCAGCTATGCTTATAGTGGGTTTCTTGTTTTATATTTATTCTTGTCTTTTTTTTTTTTTTTTAATTACAAACTGTTTTCTGTCTGTTCAAGTTCTTTCCTGCTAACCTGAACAAGTCAAGGGTGAAGCTTCCTGTAGCATTAGGCCAGCATGGGATCTGGTGTCTCTTCTTTTCCCTGCCTTTTCCGCCCCTCAAGTTAGGTCAGTGTTTATTCTTGTTTGATATGACTTTTGAAATCTGTTTTGGGCTTCTTGGAGGTTTTTTTCCTCCACTGTAGCCCACACTGTCCATCACGCTTAAAGCTTATGCTATCATAGGGGCCGAAGGGTGATGCGAGACTGCCTTCCATTTACTCTCTGCCTAAGTTGCTGCTTTATCTGAGCTGTTCTTGCATGTCAGCTGTAGAGATAAAGTGGGCATCCTTTGCAGCACTGTTACCCTTGTCTTAATTGAAAGTTGTTCCAGGTTGTAACGAATAAATAATTGCTGTTCTCTTCCCCCCCCCCCCCCCCCCCCACTCCCCCAACTGTCATTGGGGTAGTTTAAGGTGGCACCACTCTGTTGGTTTAAGCAATTTTTGATAAGGAGGATAGATTCTTACCAATTAGGATTAAGAAAATGGAGTAGAGAATGTGCATTAATGTGTAACTTTTTCATGCCGTCTCTGTCAGTTTGGCGAACTCAGGCAGGTCAGCGGAGTTCATCCTCTCTCCAGGGATCTTATATTCTGAACCTTTTGGTTAGAGTCAAGATAAACATGTAAGAACAGACTAGGCTTAGATATGTTTTAAAGGATGAAATAAGTTCCCATCTCCTCCCCCAAAACCTGAGTGAGCACCATGTCCTCAGAGTTGTGTTCAACAGGGAGATCTGAATAAGCAGATGACAACTGAGCAAGTTAAAAAAAAAAAAAAAAAAAAGGACATTTTTTTAAAACATAGAGAAGGTATGTTCTCCAAACCCCCCTGTGCCCTAGATTATGCAGAGCAGGGCAGGCAGTCAGGCTTGGACCTTGCTTGCTGCATCTGTCTGTCCGCTTCCGGTTGATGGTCAGGCCTGGGGACAAATCGGCAGGACTTGTATTGGCCAGCGATGCAAGGCTGCAGCTGGAAAGGGATGGCTTGTGTGGTATTGTGGCAGGCTTCATAACTCCCTCGCACCCCTTTTAAAGCAAAAAGGAAAAAAAGCAAATCTTCCAGTCTTGGCGTTTGAGCACCTCTGGGAAGAAGACTGTTGTGGTGTTGGGCTACATTCTATTACTTCTGCCTGTTTAAAAACAAATGCTAGCTAACCAGCTTAACAGAAAAATCACATATGCTTTAAGATTGAGTACTTCTGTTTGGTTGTCAGATGTTCCCAATGCAGATGTTTGGGCATGGACGGTTTGAGTTGTAAACTTCTTTGTAAAGCAAGGAACTTCAACATGTCGTAGCGGACATGCCAAGATCTGTCTGTCTATAGCCATATATCTTATGTGTGCTTAAGTAGCGAGTCAATGTGAATCACGTGGTGGATAGCCTGCAGAGATATTTTCCAGTATGAGAATTTAGTGATGTGTTTATATTTTTGAGTAAAGAGGTGACAAGCTTGCTCAGAGCTTCAGGCTTCTTCCCTGAAGTCTATGTGTTGCCTGATGTTCCCACTTAGCATTAGCGGCGAGCTGCATAAAGGAGTGCTACTAATACAAACTGATTTTGGTTTATACGTTTTGTCATGTATATGCTCTGCTGTAGCCTTAGCTTTTTGGCAGTTACTTTATCTGTCAGCATATTTGGGAGTGTTTCTGTTGTGTGGGCTTTCTCAAGTGCAGAGAAGTTATGTCTGCATTAAGATTTTGCTTGAATGTACTGCTTTTTACAGGGATTAATTGCAGTTAAACTTTTTTCCTTTTTTTTTTCCAGGGGATTGTGGGTAACCTAGCAAGTGGCAAGTCTGCACTTGTACACCGGTATCTGACTGGCACATATGTCCAAGAGGAATCACCTGAAGGTACGTGGATATGCAAATTTCACTGATCCCCCCCTGCCACCCTACATCTTTATTCATTTTTAATCATGCAGAAATGAATCAGTAAAGAATCTGATTTGCTATTTCAATATTTGTGGAGATTTTTCCTTTAACATTCTCCAGACTGAGATAAGTATATACAATAAGTATAATTTTAGCTTTTTCATAACTACTTGGCATCCGGTACATGTCCATATGGGAAACTTCTAGTCCTGTATTGAGAAGAGTTAACTGCTCTCAGTAGTGCTACTGCTTTCAGTTTGGCTGTTGAAAGTCACAATTACTCTATCTGGTACTGGATTTCTGCAGAATCAGGCTGTTTGGTTTGTGATATTGGGAGAACAAAAAACTTCACAAGCCTAAACTAAAGATGTAACTTGTTCCTCGTTTAATATATTAGATCTTTGGTCTTGAAGGTTTTTTTTGTTGTTTGTTTTTGTTTTTGTTTTTTTTTTAAATGTTCTTATACCATAGAAAATTAATTTATACGTGAAAACTTTGTAGTATTTAACGTTAATCCAAGTTTATAGCTTGAAATCAAAAATATCATAGTACCTTATAGAGGTGTATCTTACACTTAATACTTCTTCGATTTTTTTTTTTTTTTTTTTTTTACGTTTTCTCCTTATGAACTTTTAAATCCAACTCTGAGACACTGAATTTCTGGTTCCTTCTTTTCCTTACTGGCTGTTCCAATCTTTGCAGATAGGGATGCAGGTAACTATACATTGTCTTCTTGGCAGCTCTTGTTTTGAAGAGACAGACAGCAGTTTCTGTACTATAGTGTTTTCCCTTTGTTTTGTGTATCATTCTGATTTGTTTCCTTTTGATTTCAAGTCTTTAGTACATCTCACTGTTTTTGTCTTTTGCTGTAGTTGTCTTTTCAGCAATAGTTTGTAGCTTCATGCATCTATGATAACATTTGTTTCAAATTAACTCTTACCAAAGGAAGCTATTAAGCATAGTACTTGACATTTTAACAGTCTTGAGTTGTAGTTAAAATCGGAGGAGAGGGAAAGGGAGGGATGGACAAGGCCTTTTCTTGTGTAATTGCAGTAACAGTGAAGTCTTCCAGTCTATAAGCTTGCCTTAAATGTTTTTGCTGCTTTGTAGCTAGGACTGATGGGGTGATCATTGAGCCTTGCAACAAAACTGCGTGTAGATCCCACTTATGCTTGCTGCTCCTGGATAGGGAGAAATGGTTATGTAGTATGTAGATCCACTGAATACAAGCCTTCAGCAAAAATTAGTATCTCTACAGATCTCTCTCCCCATTTCATGGACAGAAAATATTTTTGTGTTGTTTTTTTTTCTTGCAAGATTCAAATGCATTGATTATTCACAGGGTTAACGGTCCTCTCCTCCTAAACTATGAATATTTTAGATGGTGTTCCTTGAGAGTGTTGCCATCTGTCCTCTTTGTCTTCAAGGATTTTTATTTACAGTGCTTGAGTGACGTTCCGACTGTTTTTCCTGAAAGGATTAGATTACAAAAGCAGTGTCAAATCATTTCTTTGCACATAAGTGTAGCTGACAAGCCTCACTAATGACACCATTCCATTTCATTAACAGTAGAAAAACTGGAATAATTAAGAGCTCTAATTCACCTTGTAAGGGATAGGGTCAAGATTTCTAATCAAGTTGGTATTAAAGGAAATTGAACCTGCATAAACTATCCTTAGTGAACATCTGTAGTAATGATTTGTTAGTGTTTTATTTCTTTCTCATGCAAGCAAAGTCCATATGCTGCCATTCTATAGAAGATGCAGCAGCAGTGCAGATGGTTCTGTTGCATTGCAGTGCGGGACTTCCAGTTTTTACATTCTGCATGGGAACACAGGTTTTGATAAATCGAGGCTAAATGTAAGCCTTTATGTTGGAGACCAATGCGGATCTTCCTCTTTTCCTTTTCTGAAGTATTGTAAATGTGCCAGATTGTTAAATTGGTTGAAGAATAGTCTGTATATCAGATGTTAAGGTGTCAGGTGCTTGACTATTTAAGAAAAAACAAAGTTTACTGACTTTGAATGGCTTACTAACAGCAAAATTTATCAGGCATCGTATAATTAGTATCTAATTGGTAAAATGATGGATGCGTACTTCATGTGAAAATGGTGATTATGACCGGGGACCGCTATTTCTGCTATCCTTTGCCTTCTAAATTGCTACAATTACCATGAAACCTGCCCTGAATTAGACAAGTGCCAGATCTCCTGTAGGCCTTTAAAGTAGCTTCTGCATTCTGGTAAGTGAATCTTCAGTATTAAAGATGGTTTGATGTTTCCTTCAGCTCTTTTTTTAAAGATGAGATATTTCTCTTGCTGCCCGACACCACCTCCCCAACAAGAGGAGGTATTAAAGTGTAAAACAGTTTTCTCATTGTCTGGTCCAACTTTTATTTCTGTTCAGAATTAATTTTAGTCTCTAGTGTGATTGTAACATGAATACCTTTGTTTTCTCAAAGAATAAGTTTGTCTTGGGAAGAAAATTGACTTTTAGACTCTTCCTTTGCATATTTAACATGCACATAACTCTACTCCTGTGTGACACATTTTTAAAATCAAATGTATTTTGATGTAAGAAAAGAAATGATGTATTACCCTGTAACAAGTGGGAATTTCAGTAGTCTGGGACTTGCAATTTTTCTTCTGTAATAATACAATAAAGAAGTGATGGGAAGTAGGGTATTTTAGTGATTTGTGATCTTCTAGGAACCTTCCAAGTGACTGGAAGAAAAACTACTACTAAACAGTGTGCTGGGTTTTTTACATAGCTGAAACAATAAATAAGGTGTGTGTAACCTGCTATCGTTTTTCACCATTTAATTCTACCTGGAGGAACAAAATGAAACGTGGTGTGCATGGAATTTGAGACCAGGTACTTTGCAGATCAAGGTGACTGGAAGTTTACAGGCATAGTGAGTGTCAGGAGTATTCTGTTACTGTTTGGGTTTTTGTTTCCAAAAAAGGCACGGAGGCGTGAAACATGACTTTTAAAGGCTTTTGCACATCTCTGGTATGTCTGTGAATACCCTAATTCGTATCATGATTATGTCAGTATTTTTTTCCAGTGAGCCTAATTAAAAAAAAACCAAAAACCAACCAAACAAAAAAAACCCCACACAACAAAAAACAGATAGGTTGTGGTCCAAGGTGTCTCAACTGGGATGAGGAAAATAGAGGGTTTTTTTCTCTCCCACCCCACTGCCAAAGTAAAGTGAGATGCTAGGACAACTGGTGTGATCATGAACTGCTAAATCTGGCCAGTATATCTTCCGTTTAAGAAAACCAAGAAAGGGAGCTGAGGTCACATTAACAAAATCCCCTTAAATTGGAAGATGCAGGATAGTTGAAGTGAGAGTTAAGAAGGAAGCAGGTTCTCTGCTGAGGAGACAGGATTAAGGTAGTGGCACCTGTGGCTGTATAGTATAACTGAAGGGAGAAAGCCAGTGCAAGAGGTGTAGCAACTGGTTTGGCTGTATCTTTGGTGACCTTTGAAAAAGTTTTAAGGGTGCAGGCCTCCCGTGTAATGTATGCTTAGGAGACTGGCTTAAAGTAACTTAAAGCGTAACTTTTTTCCTAAAGTTGGTAATTGCCTCTTTTGCTGCTACTTTTTGGAGAATTGATGATTATCTAGTGGCAATCTGCTCTACTTTGGCATTCAAATGAGGGACAAATGTTTTAAGTAGGTTAATAACTAAACGTTTGGGTATATTTAAGATTTTTTTTTTTTTCTTTTTTTTTTCCCCCCCTTGGGTAGAGTAAAACATTTTTTTGCTCTTAAAAGCATAAAGGTAGTCCAGCGCCCTGACTTGGGGGAGCAAATAACTATTGCAGCCGGTGGAGATTTCACATATCTGTGAGTGGAGGAACTTAGGAATGTAATATAAATGACAATGTAGGATGTGAATCTTTGCAATAGTTCTACTTTGCAATACTTTGTTTCCCACCTTCTAGGTTGATAATCCCTATGCTTCCCTTGTAGTGCACAGTACAAAAGAAAGACATTGGAAGCTCTTGGAGGGCTATTTTAGCCACTAATTGGTATCTTTTCTTACCACTCAGTAATTTTTTTTATCTATGGATTTTTTAATTCCTTATATGATATAAGGTTATTCAATTGCTTTTGATTTCTTCTTTCCCATTTCCTTTTTGTAATTGTAGCCCGTTTTAGTTCGTTTTCTCATTGGTAGAATGGGTTGAAAGCGATTGCATTGGGGGTTTTATTCGAGTTGGTGTATTGTGACTGTCACCTCGCTGTAGCGCGAGTGAGACGCGGCGGTTTGTTTAGCACTTAGGTTTTGTAGCACTGCCTCTGCTGCATCCCAGGTGAGCTACAAGCCCAGAAGAGTACCACCACACTGGAGCCCTTAGTGTGTCCCTGAAGGATAAGATGCATCAAGTTTCAGTTAAAGGTCTTTTATGTGTTAAGGGCTACAATAAATCCAGTAAGCACTATAGAGTAAAGCCTTAATGTGCTTTCCAGAAAGCTGTGATGATTTGCTTTCTTTCCAAACTTGACCTAAAAATACTTTTATACTACAACAGCCTCCGCTGATTAACTTTTTCAGTACCTACAATGAACAATGTTACTGTAACTTGAGTAACAGGCATGGTCCTAAAACTTAATGTTTATTATTTAAATACTGACGAAGTGTCACCTTCAGCTTTCCCTTAACGAAGGAATGTAATGATATTGCTATGAAAGCAAGTTGCTAGCCTGTTACCAAAACATGTAGAAATTTTACACTGGGGGATGCATGTCCATGTTTTTCACTTTCTATCTAGTAACTATTTCCATATCATGGAATTTTTTCATAATTTTTCCATATTTCCTTATCATGCTAGTTCAGCAGAGTGTAATTATGCAAGGAGGACTGAGAAAGACTGCTTCAAAATTTCAGCTGCTTTTGTTCAGCATCCCCTCATGAGATTTTTGTCTGGCCATAGACTCTTACAAAATACGTATACAAAAACTTCAAG